TTCTAATGCTGGCTACTTGCCCCCTCCCCAGCTACTGGACGCGTGCGAAGAACTTGACCCAGAGCTGGGAGCCAGCCTCCTGCACTTCTCCAGCCCGGCCACGGAGCTGGACGAAGAGCTGGCCCTGTTCTGAGGGACGGGCGGGCACCGGCACGGCAAGCTGAGCAGAACACCCTGACTACGGCCGACGGGACAGACGAGGTGCTACCTTTCTCACCAGTGCTGTTTCTTTCAAATTACTTTGTAAATAATTTATTACAAGCATAACCATGAAGCTCTTGTTACAATAAAAAGTAGGTTACAAATTTCAGTTTAGACTTGCTTTGGGAATCATAATTTTTTTTTTTCCCCCCCCAAAAAAACCCAAAAACGTCTGCTTGAAGCTGCTTTGCTGTCCTGTGTACCCTTACAGCCACCCGAGGGCACTTCCGTACAGGCAGCAGCTTGTGCGGGCGGGGGACAGTTGTGGCCAACTTTTGTTTCTACAACTGTGCGCGTGGGGAGAAGGGGGACCACAAAGGGGTGCTGCCGAACATCCATTCCCCTGGGATTAGACAGACTCTTAGTACAACACTGCTGAATCAGACGTGAGCATGGAGAATCACAGCATGATAACAAGCTTTTTCTGAGCAAGCTGAAGCTAATTCCACTGAGTTCTTTGGGAGACTAAAATGTAGATTAAAAAAAATCTCCGTTCTGCCGCATGGTTTCTGCGAGGCTGGACTGGGAAAGCATCCCCGTCCCCCTCAGGTGGGCTCCTGCTGTGCAGTCACTTCTGGCTTTACCGCCTGGCTTTCTGCAGTCCCTGAAGTGTTTAGGAGGAGAATGGGCTCTGGCTCCAGCGGCTTGGCTTTGTCCTGAGTCTGGGTCAGAGGGTGCACCATGGACATGTGGACATTAAGGTTATGGGCCTTCTCGAAGCGCTTCCCACACTGGTCGCAGGCAAACTCCAGCTCCGTCTCGGCTTTGTGTTTGGTCATGTGGTACTTGAGCGACGCTCGCTGTCGGCACTGGAAACCACAGATTTCGCACCTGCAAGGCAAAGCGGGGGCTTAGCGCCGGGCCTGAGGGGGCAGCCGTGGCGTTCGCTCTTTGTCACGTGGAATAGCCCCCCCCCACCGCCCCGAGAAGACGACCGCAGCCTCAGAGCATCTCCTACAACTACCCTGGTCACGCAACACGATTCTCCTCCTCGGGCCTGCAGCTCATCGCCGGTAGCCGAGCATTCACCCGCTGCACGCTGCAGGGCAGCCGGAATAGGAGGAGGGGGAGGGGAATAGGAGGAGATGCAGGACTTGCTCAGCAAGGGGAAGCTCTGGCGCGCGCGTTGTGGACGAGCGTTTAAAGCGATTCAGCCAGGAGCCTGCCAGCTACAGGCAGGGTTTGCATCGCAGAATTACTCCGTGCTAAGGTCAGTGACTGCGAGAGCTCAGCGGAACTTCACCACCCCTTCCGTCCCTTTTCTTGGCTACGAACGGATGGTTGGTGTGCACTTACTGGAGGGGCTTTGCTCCCGAGTGCCGCATCTGGTGGACCGAGAGGTGTTTGCGTTGCTTAAAGGTCTGCCCACATTCATCACAGATATAATTACGTACCTCTGCAATGTAAAAAGGGAGACAGTCATCGATTCTGCCGATTTCTTACTCCACGAAATGCATGCGGGCAGCTGCCCGCGCTTACTTGGTGGAGCCCGAATTCCTCCCCCTGCCTCGCGTCCCCCGCGTGATGGCCCGTTACAGGTTTGCAGGCAAGGCAGGCCCTTCTGCACGGTCTTGCACAAGCCTTGCGCAACGAGTCGTTGGGTGTTCGCAACACCCGTCGCCTGGCGTGAGCGGAGCCCGCTGGGACACACCTGTATGAATGAGCTTCACGTGACGCTGCAGGTACCGGTCAATCATGAACACCTTGTTGCAGCCAGGATGAGGACAGGGCCTCTCCCGAACCTCTTCGTGATGCTCTTTGATGTGTTTCTGTAAAGAAAGGACAGAGCTTCTAACCGCTGGCCTCCATTTTCCCCAGTGGAAAAACTTGGATCCCCCCAATAAACGAGACACCCCCCCGCCACGTTGGCAGACTCGCGCGTCAGCGCTGCTTCACTGTGGAAAAACCAGAGACTTGCATCCAAATCTAAGCCTGGCGGCAGGGGCTTTAACCGGGCAGAGCGGAGCTTGTTCCAAGGGCTGCTGCCGAGCCAGCGGCCGGCTTCCAGAACAGGAGGAGCACGCAGAGCCAGAGCAGCTCCCGTTGCTTTTGGGAGCACGGAAAGAGGCCTCCGACTGCTTCGTCTGGTCGCTTGCCGCCTCCTGCGGAGCTAGGCGGCGAGTTAAATCTGTCACAGATCCTCTCCTCATACGGAAACCGCTCTGTAACACTCGGAGCCACCCGTCTTGAGACAGGAGCGAACCCTGAACTCACCTTCATGCCATCCGCCCCTCTGTAGACGGCCGTGCAGCCCTGGTAAGGACACTTGTAAATGGTAGGCAGCTCCTCCCTGCAAAGCAGAGGCCTGCCGTCAGCCAGCGTGCCGAGCGCGGGGCTGCTGCTCAGCTGCCGCCTGCTCCTTATTACCTTTCACATTTGATTTTTTTTTTCCAGCCTGGCTTAGGCCCAGGCTTCTTCCTTATTTTGGGCTCTTCCGCCTTCTTTGCTTCTTTGCCGTCACTTTTCTTGCTAGAAACCCTCCAAGAAGGAAGAAGGACAGTGGTTTAATATTTGATGCTGGTTTTAGTCCTCCCACCTAATCGTCCCCGAGTGTCACACCCGGCCCGACGGCTCAGCTTGACCTGGCAAAGCAGGGGCACGCACGCCGTCAGGCACACGTCAGCCGCGCTGCGGTAATTAGTGCCGGGCCCGAGGACGAGGGACGCGGCCCAGCTTCAACCCGATGGGGAGGCTCAGGGAACCACGGGTGCTGGGGCAGCGCTGCGACCTCCAGGCAGGGACGCGGAGGGAACCGAGGCCAGGAAGGAAAGCGATCGCGTCGGCCCAGCTGGGCCCAGCCCGGCACAAGCAGGGCGGAGGCGGGCGCCGGCCCTCCCACTCGTCCGCCGAGAGCTCTGCTAACCACGCAGTGAGCCCCTTACTTCTTTTCGGGGTAGGGCTCGAAGGAGTCATCTGAAGATTGCACGTTTCTCTTCTCATTTTCATCGTCGCTCAAGAAGTCCCTGAGAGAGAGAAGACGCCCTTTACCGACACAGCACCGGCCTGGCGCTTCAGCACCGGCGTCTGCAGCAGCAGCAATGCGTGCTCTTCGTTCCCGGCGCATCCATCTCCCCCACGGCACGGCACGGCACGGCAGCCGAGGCTCCGCGGGTCCCCCCCCCCCGTAATCTCCCCAAGCAAATACAGCGCCGGTGAACTCGGCAAATAGCAAAATGGGGTCCTTTTAGGACGAGCTCTCTGCAAGGATAATCGAACCGCTGTCAGGAGAACAAAAAACGGCCATTTCTGAAAAGATCTATTCGTTGTTGAGGGATGTTGCCACCGCTTTCTCTACCGGGAGAAGTAATTTTGCAGAGCAAGAACGTAATGTAGTTGTCTGGCGCGGGTTAATTAAGCTGCAGGTCATTCTGTATTTCCTCCTGCGTGGCAGCCACATAGGTTTGGGTCTTAATTTTTCCTCCTTTTTAGTCCTAAGCCGTACAAGAAGCAAGCGATTCTGAAGCCAGGAAACAGGCAATGAACTGCTGTGGCACGTGTAACGTGACAGCTGACACGCTGAAATACGCCTGCTCTCGGCCACTTGGGACTTTAGACTCGGAGTGACTGGACTCAATTATCAGTTATTTACAAGCCTCACTTTAAACACCTGCATTTGAAGGATTTAGCCAAATCTTTGATCATAAAGGCGGCCAAGCTGCCGGCGTCCCTCCCGCTCCCCGCTTAATCGCTCTCCCTGTGGGCAAACGGGGTGGTTTCTCCGAGTGCCACCCCTCGCCTGCATCCCCGGCAGCGACCGCTCCTCCGCGGCCCCAGCC